TTATTTGCAAAATATTTTTCTAAGAATTGTTTGTGGTTGCGTTTAAATATTTATCTTTCATAATCAAACGTTTTCAAACTTTTTTTTAACGATATTTATCAAATTGCACTCTCAATGTTTTCTTTAAAATATTTATTATATATTTAACGATTGTTTCGAACTAAATATTTTTTTTGGGAAATCCTAAACTTATCTACACACTTTCTTGTCTCCCCCTTAAATGAAATGCGAGCTGAAAATTAGTTTCTATCTCAACTTAATCCCATTTCTTTGTGGTTTTATAGAGATGGGCAGTCTCTCTTGTGACTTATTTGGCTGACAATATAGAGCTACCATTTGCATAAAAGCGCCTTAACTCTTGTTGCTATCGTTCGGCTGCATTTGCATTATTTCTTCATAACTGTTGATTGGACGCAATTGCAATTCATACGAGTATTTGGCACATGTGGCAGCCATAAATTTTCTAGTAATACCCGCGACTAATGCGAATTAAATGTGAGTTTTATGCAGAGAACTTTTTACAAGTACATGCCTCTTGCAGTTGTTGTTGTTGCTGTTACTTTTTGTTTGTTGTTGTTGTTGTTGTTGTTGTATTGCACAAAGCCCCCCTTAATTCATTTATTTCGATTTATTGTAGCACCATTTCAATTAAGCGCCTAAACGACTCACTTAAAATGCAAATTGCAGGCCATTTGCATAGAGATTTGTCTACAATGACAACAATAACGATAATAATAATAACATCAGCTACATCAGATATGTGTATTTTTGCAATCTGCAATATATATGTATAGATGTATATGTGTGTGTGTGTGTGTGCATAAATGTTTACATATAAATTGTAAATTACACACAAACCCATTTGGCGCTCTCTTTTCATATTAGATTAACAAAATTCTTTTATGCATCGCAAAAGCATATTTCAACTAAAGCATATTGCAACTAAATTATTTAGAACTAATTTTAATTTACAACTTTTTCCCTCTTTTCTGATTGCATTTTGTGTTTTGCGCAAAATTCGCGAGCACGCCAAAAACTACCTGACAACGTCCGCTGAGACTTTGAGCCGTGTTGCAAAATGAAAAAAAGCAAAAACCGTACACGCTTTTGCACACCGACACTTGAATACACTTCTGAATGAACCCTTCTTTTTTTAACAAAGAGCTGATAATAAGAAACCACTGAACATTCAATTTGGGGGAAATGTGTTTTGTGTTCCCAATAGTTAATAGTCTTTTTTTTCTGCTTCGAATTAAAAGTATCTTATTTATTGTATCTACAAAAGAATTTGAAATTGTTTGTTGATTTCTACATATTTTGCAGCGCTTTGCATCTGAAGTATTAGGCTTAAATTATTTATAATGCATAAGTGTACAATTTTTCATTTTGTACAACAAATGAGCTTTTGAATTTGTGTGTTTCTTTTATTAGTTAACAATAAAGAGTTCAGGTTATAAGACCTTAATTATATATAAAGTGTGTTTTTACACTTTATGAGTGAACGGACTGTTTCTAATTTCTAACAAAATTTGTTCAAAAACCCGTATTAGTGTAAAATTATTTAATGTTCTAATATCTAATTAGTTTTTGAAATATATGTAGTTGAACTAATGAATTGAATTAATCTCTTAACTGAAATGCTGAGTAATTGATCTCCATGCCAGTTCTACTTATATTAACCGTGAATTACAATTTACAATTCCGCTCTAATGATCATAGAAATATTTATCAACAACATCGGCCATGTCTTTAGTTCTCAGTTGACGACTTTGGAGCACAAATTTATTTGATTCTGCTATTTAACATCCAAAAATTTGGCAAACCTTTCTAATATGCATAAAGCTGTTTATTTCAATTGGTTTCCCTAATTGGCAGCCGATCCGATTAAAATTGACAACAACGTAAGGTTTAACAAAAAAAGGACAGACAGTTCTACGCACTTTTTTTAAATGGACCTATTCATAGTTCCTATTAGAACATTCCTATGAATGTTATCATTATATAAAGCAGTCCGATTTATTTCAAACTGCAATAAATACTACTAATCAAACAACATATTTAAATTGTGGTTCAGCTTGATTTTGAAACCAAAAAGTACTTCAATTTATTTAGAAAGTAATAAAGAATCTAATCCAGATGGAAAACCCTTTTAACTCCTTAACTTGAAAACTGCAAGACACACACACGTATACATGGCCATAGACTTCAGATCGTAGGGCTGTCATTTCTAGGCGTTACAAATACTAGATGCAATGCAATATAACTCCGTCTAGTGTATGCTGGGGGGAAAAAATGGCAACGACGTGAAATTCTTTCACCATGCGCTCTGCATACGAAAACGGCGCGTGTATTTCCCATGATAATGAAGCGCTGTGCGTGTTTGGTGTGTGCGTGTGTGTGTGTATATTTCTGTGCATGTGTGTGTGTGTGTGTGTGTTGAGGGCAATGCTTGACATGTCTGCTTTTGTAATTAAATGTGTGCGTGTGCCAATGGCTGCGCTCGTGCGTGTGGCTGGCTGCCTAAGCAATTGTCAATTTGTGTTAAATGCGCCCAATTAAACGGCAAATGGAACGCACACACACACACAGACACACATTCATAGATGACACACACACACACACTCACACTTAACGCACTTAAAGCATAATCGGAGCAAATTTGCGCGCCGTGACTTTGCCACGCGTCAGCAAACATACATATGCCAGCAATATCGGCTAATTGAGTAGAAAGTATCTCTCTCTTCCACCTTAGAATCGCAATGGAATTCCCACGCAGCTGCGATTGAAACGCTTTCGTCATTGAATCCCCACAAATCCCCAAAACGGAAGTGCCGCTGCCGCCATTACTGCGGCGGCAGCAGATGTGTCAAGAAATTTGTTACCCATACAACATGTCAAAGAACCGATTGATATGCCAACATCTATATACTATACACTGAAAAGGGTCACATAGGCACACTCAGGCGACTATAGACCCTGCCGCTCGTGCCTTGTAAGATGTGGTCAGACATGCAAATAATTTGCACAAACATTTGTAAGCTTTTACCTAAAATGTTATAAATGGCTTGTTCTTTCAATTAAAACCAATAGGAATGCTCCAAAGAAGCTAATTTAATAATAAAGAACCTGTTGTTCGTGGGTTTTAAGATATGGTCAGACATGCAAATAATTTGCACAATAATTTGTAATATTTAACTGCTATAAATTGTTTGTTATTTCAATTAAAACCAATAGGAAAGCTCCACAAAGGCTAATTTAATAATATCCGACTGCAGTTTTAAACACCACAGCATATAAACCCTGCCACTCGTATGTTTTAAGTTGTGGTCAGACATGCAAATAATTTGCACAAACATTTTTAAGCTTTTACCTAGAATGTTATAAATGGCTTGTTCTTTCAATTAAAACCAATAGGAATGCTCCAAAGAAGCTAATTTAATAATAAGAGAACCTGTTCTTCGTGGGTTTTAAGGTGTGGTCAGACATGCAAATAATTTGCACAATCATTTTTAACATTTAGCTGCTAAAAATTGTTTGTTCTTTCAATTAAAACCAATAAGAATGCTTCAAAAAAATAAAGATGTGGTCAGACATGCAAATAATTTGCAGAATAATTTGAAACATTTACCTAGAATGCTATAAATAGTTTGTTCTTTCAATTAAAACCAATAAGTATGCTCACAAAGGCTAATTTAATAATATCCGACTGCAGTATTAAACTCCACAGCATATAGACCCTGTCGTTCGTGGGTTTTAAGATGTGGTCAGACATGCAAATAATTTGCAAACAAAATCATTGTTTTATATTTACTTTTCAAAGCCTGCTTCAATAATGTCTGACCACAGTTTTAGAGTTCACAGAATATAAACCCTAACGTTCGTAGCACTGACAAAGTGTTATCCCGCTTCTATTTATCCGATTGTCCGATAGAGATTTGAAGATGAAACCCAATCCGGCAAAGAATGGTCTTTCAATTTTTACAGGCCACAATTTATAAGTTTTAGAACTCTTTAATTCCCAAATTCTTTTCCTAGATGGTTGACGCATTAATAAAGAGTAACAACAAATATATAGTATATCTATAAAATGCTGAAAATTTAATAAAAAATTAAATATAACTTAAATAATTTATTTATATTTTTAACTCTTTTGCATATATTAAAATCTCTTAAATCATCAAATTGTTTTTCTAGATGGTTGACTCAGTAATAATTGTTGGAACACTGTCATGTTAGGGTTAAGAACTTGTATAATAACAGCTGATTAATTTACGCCTTGTAACTAGCACTTAAGTCAGGCTCACTTCACTGTATTAAAGAAACTCAAACGGATAAGACGTTTACGCTCTCTTATTGATCTCACTTGGATTTAGGGACCACGTGGATCTTCCACATACGTAATCATATAACTTTCCAACAATAATGTCTCCCGCCTCACCTTTCCCACAGCAGTAAGCTCCCCTTGTCTGCTTACAGCCATAGAACTACAGGGCTCTTGCCTACCCCAATAAACGCCATATCACACTCAACACACACACACCCTCGCTGGCTTAGACCGCACAATTTTCACTTATTAATTTCAGAAAACTTGCCTTTTGTTTGTGGCCCAGACGTAGTTGTCGTCATCGTCACCGTCTCTGTCGTTGTAATTTCTTTGCGGGTATTTGTGACATTTTCGTTTGCGACTGAGACGCACACACACATGGTTCCCCTTTGCCCTCAATTAAATATGTTGGGCTCCATTATTTACAAGTTTTTGTTTGCCTTTCATTAAAAAGGGCTTAACGGCTGTCAAAGCTAACTAACATCGCTCTCCAGCCCGTATCCATTGACTATCCGTTTGGTTTGTTAACGACAAAAGTTTTCGGCTTTAAATTTTAGTTATGAATTTTGTATTAGACCCGTTGTTTAATTATCATCTAGAGAGGGCTCTGGAGAGCCTCGGCAACCGCAAAAATTTCTAGTTAATTAATTGATATGCATTTGATTTGTCCTTCCAGCCCAAAGTTTGCCAGCTCAGTGCGACGAGAAGCAATTTAAGTGCTCCAGTGGCGAATGTATACCCACGCGCTTTGTCTGCGACGGAGATCCGGATTGCCGGGACAGTAGTGACGAGCTGCGCTCAGAGTGTAAATTAAGTGGTGAGTTCAAGTTTATTTCAAAGAAAATTAATAAATCCATACGCCAGGGACATGCATAGATTGTAAATCATTTGTAATAGATTAAGAATGTCTCTCAATTATCAATAGTTAAGAGTGGAATAAGCACTCTTACCTTTTTAGAAAGTGTTTACCAGATTAAATGGATGCTTATGCTTCTCATTTGTCACTTTTATAAACAACCATTTCTAATGTCTCATAATAAGAGAAAATAAATAACACTGACTGGCCAGTGCGTTTACTTTGTACTTTTCTAAATTGAATATCTTATGTTTTTGTGTACTTTCCTCTGCACATCCATCATGGCCGAGTTAGAGGCAGAACCGCAACATCTTTTACACTAATGAGCTCGCTCGACTTTTGCGTTTGTTTAGCGCACATCAATTCACTTTATGCAACACCTTGGCCAACACACTGTGGTCGCAACTAGCACTTACAACAAAATGCTCGTACTTTACCAAATTGTGTTTGTGCTTCAGAAACAGAACCGAGACAGAGACAAAGTCAGTGTCCTGGCATTCCATGTCGCATCTTGTCGCGTCGAGTTGCTTGTTGTTGCTGCTGCTATTGTTGACTTACAAAGTAAGTTTTGCCAGCGCCATTTTTTTTATATATACACATATATGTACGTGTGTTTGTTTGTCATGTGCATCCCTTTTCAAAGTCAAGCATTTGTGTTGCCTTTGGATTTACGACGCCTTCGCCATGGACACAGCTGTTGCCTTCTGGCTTACGTGCCCGCTCCTTTCTCTAATCTGTTGTCAGTCATTTGTAGTTTTTCAATTTGGAAATGTCACAGAACTAACCATTTACTTAGTTGCCGTTGCACTCTGTGCATATATGTGGGTGTGCTTATGTGTGTTTGCTCTTGTATTGGTTTTGGTGTTTTGCCATTTGTTTGGTTGTTTGTTTGGCTTCGTTGTTGAGTAAGTAACAACTGGCTGTTTATTTAGTGTCAGCTGGACATGAGCCTCGGCTCGGCTCGGATCGGAACGGAACGGGCAAATAGCTAACCAGAGCCTTTGGTTCACTGCCTGCACAGTCTGGCACATTTATTTTCGTTTAATTTTTAGTGTGTGCGTGTGTGTGTGTGGTTTTCTCTTTTTTTATTAGCCTATCCATTTAATTTCAGTTTGCTTTACAGAACAGTCTGGTTTAAATGTTGTTCGTGTCCACGCTTTACTGCATTCAATTGGCTTCATTTATTTACTTTTTTTTGGATAGTCCTCGTTTTTCTGTCTTTTGCTAAAATTTAAATTTAAATTTAACTTATTGGCGCCATTTCTAACAATATTTTCGTTTTAAGCCCAAGGGAGTTAGTTCTGCGAAATGCATTGCATACTTTCAGGCAGCGCCATTAAGCACAAATGATACAATGGCCGCACATATATTAGGCAGGGCTAACTAAAAAGCACACTCACGCGCAAAAATATTTTAAATGATGCCCATTTGTTTTTTGTGTACTTTAGTTTTAAAGAAAATTCTTGCATTCTAGTTCTAAATAAATCGTATGTATATAAATATTATTATATTATATTTTTTACAAAATGTGGTATATATGTTTGTTTTATACTTTTATTATTTTGATTGCAATCAATTAGCAGATTTGAGTGTCCAGAGCTGAACAATAGGATTCACTTTTTCTATTTATTTACATTTGTTTTGAACTACTACGTTTCACGATTTATTTTAACTCTGCAACACTTTAATTTTGCTGCACTTTTAAGCAAAAGTTAAGCCCATTCTTTGACAGCAATTTAAGTCCAAACGGCTTATCAAGTTCAAGCCACTAAGCTGCTAAACCATAATTACAACGACTTGCTGCCAGCCCATAAACAACAGCCTTGAGCCGAACTGAGCAGCCAAAGAGCTAGGGAGCGGGCCACAGAGAGCCAAAGAACTTTGTGTAACCCAAGCAGTGTTGAGTCTTATTTACAACCGACAGTGGGGGACACTCCAAACAGAACTAAACCAAACTAAACTGAAGCAAGTAAGAACAAGTCAAGTGCAATCAAACTAAGCCATTGCATCATGCCATTTGCAACAAAAGCTGCGCTCCGCACTCGTAACCAGTTCGAAAAGACTAAACCAAAAGCTCAAACTGCGGCCACACAGCGACACACTGCCAGTGTGTATGTGTGTGTGTGATTGTGTGAGTGTGTGTGTTAGTGTAGACGACAATAGTTGAACCTTTATTTGAATTTGCTAATCGCAACGTTATCAAAATAATTTATGAGAATATTGTTATTTACGTATTAAAACAAACAAAAAATGTGTCTAAAAAGTAATACAATAAATGTGTTTATGTAAACAAATTAGAAATTATAAACAACACAATGCTGATATTGGCTTAAATGTTTAATTATTAAATTTATATAATTGGAAAAATATTTACGTTACTAGAATGTCAATTTACAGTTTATCTAGTGTAAATGACATTTACAAGTTTTATTTGCCAATTAATATCAATTAAAATGATTTTATTGACTTTGTTTAATCCAAAATAAATATAATAAAAATACAAATAAATAGATAATAAATAGTTTACATGAATATGACACTTTTGAATAATATTGAACTGTTTTCTATTGTAAAGTAATAATGTTGATGAATATGTTGATTTTGCTTAATCTAAAAAAATATAATAAATGCAAATAGGTAGAATATAAAGAATTATGACACTGTGGAATAATGTTGAACTGCTTTCTATTATAAAGTAATAATGTGGATGAATATTTATTTTTATAATTTTTTACGGAAAAGTCTCGTGAAAGGAAAACGAAATTTGTTCAAATTTTAAATGCCGATATTTGTCGAAATATTTCATTTGAAGAAATAGAGTCCACTGTAGTTTCTTTACAGCAAATATTCTAAATGTGTGCTATTTTATGTTTGTAGAGCTATGGACTCTGGATTTGAAGTATACAGAGGTATTCCCCGTATACTTATCTGTTAATAACTGTTTTCCATTTATTTTGTATTACAGCATAGAACTCTTTCTCTCTTTCTCTTTCTCTGTCTCTCTTAGCTGTAATAAATTGTATTTGTTTACTTTCTATTAACTACTTTACATTAAACAAAAGACCACAGAGTGCAAAAACCCAGAGCCGCTGTGGTCAACGACATTAGCGTTGGTTTTGGTTCAAAGTACTGCGCTGATAAGCCATGTTTCGAAATGTTTGTTTATCCGCCGAAAAGTTCGGCCACAAAGGCGGTTCGTTGACTCGCACTATTGCTCAGCAGTGTGTGCTTGTGGGGAGGAAGTCGAGAGGTCAGTGAGCCAACTGGCTGACCAGAAAACATACTGTAATGATAAGACCGCAATGCACTTTTCTCCGCCCTTCTTTCCTCTGTCAGTCACCAGTCTGGTCACCAGTCTGGTCCGCCAGTTTATCATCGATTCGCAAACTGCGACTTACGCACTCGAGCTACAGACTACTGTCTGCTAAGCCTGCATTCCGATTTGCGTCTTCCTTATATGGCTGCAGACGGCACAAACTTGACCTACATATATATTTTGTTGCAGTGATGCAAGCGGAATTGCCCTGCGCCGGCTGTGGCAGTTGTTCATCGGCCATATTCCAGTGCTGATTAGAAAGCTATCAACTCGCATCGACCCTAGGCGCCGACCAAATCGACTTATCAGCTGCGCATTTGTCTAATGTGCTTCACGCTTATAATTTTCCAGACTATTGAAAACATATAACACTTACAATTAATTGTGATCGAAGATGCGAATGCTTTGAATGTAGAAATATTGGCATTTGTCCGATAGACAAATCATTTTCCTTTGTTTCAAGCTTCTCAAGGGAAATCACAACTAAACAGCCTTATCTACGAATGCATTTTAATTATATTATCTCACTAATCCGCGCATATTTATAATATGTGTCAGCTGATATAAATTACTTGTTAATGTTTATTAATAAATTGTTCTACAATGAACTAAACGCATTTAGACGAGCACTCTACGCCGGTCTTTTTCCTTACATTCGAGGGTGGATCAATAAATACCAGCAATTGGCTATTATAACGATTATAAGGTATAAAGTTATAAGGATAAAATAAAAAAATGGGAACATCAATGTGTAATTCGATTTTTATTTTTAAATGGAAAAAATTGCGTAGAAATAAAAATAAAAGTTAAATGTTCACAATCTCTGACAATAGGGAAAAATTGGTTTAAAGAGCTCAAGTAGTTTCGATGAGGAACAGCCAGGAGGTGGTTAACGAGGAAATCGTAGAAAAGGTTCATGAAATGACTTCAACTGATCGCCAAACGAATGTTTGTGAACTAACTGAGGCTGTAAGTGTCTCGTATGATAAGGCAATCAATATATTAAATGATAATGACGAAAATGAACAACTAATAATGTCATAGCAAGGCTTGGACCTTAGACGGCTTTGAATTGCTTCCGCAACCACCTTACTCGGCTGTCCTAGCAATTAACGCCGTATTATGTTTTCTAATTTAAAAACATGGCTCTCAGCAAAAATAAATTAGCTCAAATGAAGTAGGTTTTGCAGAGAAAAAAGCTTTTTTTCTGGAAGTTTGGAAAAGCTAAATAAACCTAAAAGAAGATTTTGTTCAAAAATAAAAAATATATGGTGAAATAATAACATCTTTATTTAAACACGCCCTTGTTTACGCGCCAAAAATATGCCATAGCTTATTAAAATAGACATCTACTTTCTAAGTAAAAGTTGCCATTAGTTAAATTTTTAAAGCCATTTTTTTTCTGAGTGTACTTTTTTGGAATTTCCCAAGAACTGCTATCTGTGCTCAGATACGTTCAAGGGCAGCTTTTATTTAAAATTTCCGCTGCAGCTGCAGCAACAACTTATTTAATTTTTATATCTCTAATACGAGTATGTACTGTTTGCGGATTTCATTTTATTGCAAACAATAATGACAAATATATATATTTTTTTAAGAACTGAGCTTCACTTATCAGTCTGCAGCAACGGAACTCTCGAATTTA